CCAGTGCCAGAAGCATGGAACTCAATTCAGATCTCATAGGTGGGTAGCAAGGGCTCAAGCACTTGAGCTATCATCTGCAGCCTCAAGAATGCATTAGAAGGAAGCTGGTTTAGAAGTGGAGTGACCAGTACTTGAGTCAACACTCCAGTAAAGGATGCAGGCATCATAAGTAGCTGCTTAACCTACTGTGTCACAGTGTTCACCCTTGACTTTTTAAATACAACTAAACTAACTTTAATAATGAAATAAGTGTTATAATAGATTCATATAGTAAAATTCAGCAGAGGCTAGCCAGGGAAAATCCTCAGAGATTTGCCTTCAGTGTTTTATGAACAGATGTTTCTAGAATGAATGGTCAGAGGGGACTGCATAGTAGGTGTTTAACAAAATTATGTAATCGAATTTACTTTAAGCAAAACTTTAAATATTGCAATTATGTCTTCATCTCACTCCTGCCTACAATCAGACACTTAACAAAGACCTAAGTTACTGAACTAGTGTATGGGAGCTAACGTTCTAAATGAAATTCAGGCTATATAGGAGAAAACAAAGTACCAATTCAATGTATATATTATAATAAGCAGAACAGGCAAAAGAATTTCAGGTGGAAGGGAAAATTTTAAAGAATTGGGTCTCAGAGAAGAGCTTCAGAGAAAAGGCAGGTTAGTTAGACTGTAGATTATAAAGAATAGAGAATGAAAATTAGGTTCCTTGAGGCCAGTGCTGTGGCATAGCAGGTAAAGTGCCACCTGTAGAGCCAGCATTGCATATGGGTACCAGCTCGAGTCCCAGCTGCTCCTCTTCTGATCCAGCTCTCTGCTCTGGCCTGGGAGAGCAGTAGAAGATGGCCCAAGTCCCTAGGCTCCTGCACCCACATGGGAGACCTGAAAGAAGAACTAGGCTCTTGGCTTCAGATGGGCCCAGCTCCGGCTGTTGTGGCCATTTGGATAGTGAACCAGTGGATGGAAGATCTCTCTCTCTCTCTCTCTCTCTCTCTCTCTCTCTCTCTCTCTCTCCCTCTGCCTCTGTAACTGCCTTTCAAATAAATAAAATAAAATCTTAAAAAAAAAGAAAATTGGGTTCCATGTGAAATAGAAAGGAAAAGAGAGGACATTCCAGAAAGGAAAATGGCAAAGCAAACATATAATTGGTCTTGAATGCCAAAGTGAGGATATTTAATTGCATTTTGTGGAAATGGGAACACTGAATACATTTCATAAGTAAAAATCAAGCATTATTTTTAGCAAGATGTTTCATAATGACATCAACAGGGTGAAAAAGTAACCTATAGTATATCCATTAAAATACCCTTCTTTCCTCAAATTATGACCTTTGTCATGAATCCCATACTATGATATTAATATACCCCCTTCTGATTGCAAAAAATAATGTGTATTAACATATTTATATATATATTAAGTCTATATATGAAACAAACATGGAAAAATGTTAAAAATGTTAAATCTAAGAATATATGAATTACATCAAAATATTCTGCGTGGTGTCAACACTGAGATTTTACTCTGAAATCCCAGAAGCTATTCATGAGATACCCATTCTAACTATTTTCCTGAATTTTTGTGATCAAATTTGGCTTAGACAAATTTCCAACTATGTAGTTCTAAAATTGGGGCATGTTCTAATACAGAGAGTGGTTTTTTAGCACACTTTTCATTTTCATTTGAAAAGTAGCTGGGTTAGGTGTAATAGACTCAACTTCCCACTGCTCTCTGAGTGCATAGTCCAGCTCACCAACTTGCTATACAGTAATTATGAAGCATGCCAAGTATACAGTAAGTACAAGAATACCTCACATTCTCCTTTGAGCACTGGCACAAAGAAATAAAATAGGAGCCCATAAAGAATTATCCTTCATTTCACAAACACGTACTGTTACCTCATCTGAGCTAAGCATTTAGAATTAGACATCAAATAAGACATTGCTGCTCCCTTACAAACCACTAACAAAAGCAGATACATCAAGATACAGTCTGCGAGGTGCAATGGTGAGTGATACAGATTGGCTTGCTCAGCTTCAGTTACCTTCTTTCTTGTGAGCCATGCTGATGGCAAGAACTGAAAAGCTAGATCTAAGTTTCCTACACATCCTTTCAGCCATAGTCTTGGATATAAATTAGTTTCCACCAACTAGGTGTGCTTACACATTATGTTGAAGGGTAAATTCCTGTCCCTTTGGTTATTTCTTGTTGGCAAGCAAGGTCCTGGGAACTGTGGTTATTTTGTTGTAGCCTCTCTTTTACTAACGTTGTGGATGTGAAGAGGCAATTTCAGCTGAAGTACCAGCAACTTTCCAACTCTCCTTTCTGATCCCTAGGGTCCCAGCTGTGGAGGGTACTCTTGTACAAAAGTCAATTCTGTAGTGTTCAAAGAGTCATTTCACCCTAAAACCCTTGCAACAATTTTGTGAAGAATCTAATTCCCTGTGTTAAATTAAATTTAGAGGGGTTTCTATTTCCTGCCTGAACATTCATAGGCAGTATAAAAGGTGTGTAAACAAAATAATGATAATCTAGCCAAGTGTGTGATTAATTCTGCTTGGGCAAATTGGAGGAGTTTCCAAGGAGGAAGTGATAAGATCATGTATCTTAAAGGATGAGTAATAATTAATATTGAGTAGGCACTGTGGGTACTAATAGCAATTGAAAAATACCGTATAGAAGCACAATGGTCAAGGGAACAATAAGTAGACTACTGAGTTTCAACTGTCATTTCCAGGTCATCATTTAGTATACTGTTCTAATAATACAGTTACAACTCAGCATTTCTCTATAGAGTGTCAATGATTATTCTACTTTTGTGTTAAAAGTAACATGTGTATTCATATTATATATATGTATAAAATAGATATTGCAGAGGTAATTACAAATATCTTTTCCATTCCAGTCAACCAATGGAATAAATAGCACTCAGGGAGCTGTATAGTGGTTTGTTAGGATATGGGTTCAGGAGTCAGACTGCTTTGATGTTACTTAGCCACTCTGTATATTTTCTTTGCAGGAAAAATGAAGATGATGGTACTAGCCCTCACCCCATAGAATTATTTTGAGGATTAGACTTAACACATGTGAAATGCTTAGAATATAGTTGACAGGTAGACAAACTTCAATAAATGTTATGATAATTTACTATTCTTGTGACAGTATAAGTTTATGGAAAATGGAATTCAGAGGTAAGTTTAGGGCCAGGTATTGTGGCACAGTGGAGTAAGCCACCAGTTGGGACAACCACATCCCACATCAGAGTACCTGGGATCCATCTTCCTGCTAATGCATATTCTGGAAAGCAATAGATAATAGATCAAGTGCTTGGGTCCCTGTCATCCATGTGGAAGACCTGGGTGGTGTTCCTGTGTACTGATATCAGTCTGGACCAGCCCTGACTATTGTGGGCATTTGGGTTTGAAACAGAGAATGGAAGAGATTCATTCATTCTCTCTCTCTCTCTCTCTCTCTCTGTTTCTCTGTGTTTCAAATACACAAATCTTTATAAAAATATTTTTAAGTTTATGCAAAATAGATTTGAAATTTGAAATCTTGCATAGTTCTTTCATCATATACATCATCCATACCATTTTTGAGGTGCTCTGATAGTCTTTTTTTAAAATATACTTAAAAACATTTTTAAGGTGAACAAATTTCATGTATTTCATATATATAGTTTTAGGAACACAGTGATACTTCCTACCCTACCCTCCCTCCCACCCACACTCCTACTCTTCCTCCTCCTTCCTCTCTTATTCTCTCTCTTAGTCTTTACAATGATCTACTTTCTGTTTGCTTCATACTCATAATATTAACCCTATACTTAGTAAAGAATTCAACAAATAATAGTAAGAAAAAGAAACACTGTTTCTCAACAGTAGAGACAAAGGCTGTAAACAATCATCAGATCTCAAAATGTCAATTTCACTCCTAAACATTACATTTCCTGGGTACTGTATTAGTTAACACAATTCAGGAAAAACATATATTTGTTGTTTGGCTTATTTCACTAAGGATAATGGTTTCCAATTGCATCCATTTTGTTTCATTATTTTTATGGCTGATTATACCAAAGTTTTTTTTTTTTTTAATTCATTTATTTACTTGAAAGTCAGAGTTACACAGAGATAGAAGGAGAGGCAAAGAGAGAAAGAGAGGTCTTCCATCCGCTGGTTCACTCCCCAGTTGGCCGCAGTGGCTGGAGCTGCGCTGATCTGAAGCCAGGAGTGAGGAGCTTCTTCCGGGTCTCCCACGCCAGTGCAGGGCCCCAAGGACTTGGGTCACTGCTGCTGCTTTCCCAGGCCATAGCAGAGAGCTGGAATGGAAGAGGAGCAGCCGGGACTCAAACCTTCGCCCATATTAGATGCGGGCACTGCAAGCGGTGGCTTTACTCACTACACCACAGCACCAGCCCCCACAATTCAGTTGATGAACATTTGGGTTGATTCAATATCTTAGCTATTGTGAATTGACCTGTAATAAACATGGGCGTATGGATAATTCTTTCATATGCTGATTTCATTTCCTTTGGGTAAATTCCTAGAAGTGGGATGGCTGGGTCATATGGTAGGTCTATATTCAGATTTCTGAGGTATCTCCATACTGTCTTCCACAGTAGCTGGACCAGTTTACATTCCCACCAGCAGTGGGTTACAGTACCTCTTTCCCCAAATCCTTGCCAACATTTGTTTGTTGATTTCTGTTGAAAGCCATGTTAACTGGAGTGAGGTGAAACCTCATTGTGATTTTTTATTTGCATTTCACTAGTGGCTGGTGATCCTGAGCATTTTTTCATGTGTGTAGTAGCTATTTGAATTTCCTCTTTTGAAAAATGCCTGTTCAAGTCCTTTGTTCATTTCTTAACTGGATTCTTTGTTTTGTTGTTGTTGAGTTTCTTGAGCTCTTTATAGATTCTGGCTATTAATCCTTTATCAGTTGCATAGTTTGCAGATATTTTCTCTCATTCTGTCGGTTACCTCTTTGCTGTTTCCTTTGCAGTATAGAATCTTCTCAGTTTGATGTTATCCCATCTTGATGTTATCCCATTTGTCTATTTTTCAAGACATTTGATGTAATGAGCAAGGCAACAAAAGGTAAATATCAGTAGAAATTGGTAGAAATATTTTGACATTTTAAGGGTACTGTAAACATAACTGCAGACCCAAAATTATTTCACAGAACCTAGAAGGAACTATGGACAATGCCATAGCCACTCTACTAAAACAACTATGAAGCTTATTTAGTTAACATTCTCATCATTTCCAAGAAAATACCTGCAGCATTGCAAAGGCTAGGCCTATAGCTTTTAATCTGTACTTTCTTTTTGAATTGTCTTCTTATCCTGTTGCTCTCCCCCATTTCCTGAGATGTTTTGTACCCAACTTTTTGTTATCTGTTCGATGAACTTTCCTGGCAACACACAGACAAACCATGCCAAGTGTCAGCTTTATCCAGGAGCCATTGACAACATGGCCCCTACAGTCCAGCACCTTTGGCCTGCACATTAGTAAAGATCTTTCATATCCCTGGTGTGCTTCCCGTCAGACTACTCTAATTTTAAGAACTTGATTTCTTTTTGCTGTACCCTCTCTCTGGATTTTAATGTTTTGCAATTTTTCACTATTGTGAAGCAATAGTCATGTTGTTAATCAAATTACTTTTTCACATTCTTTCTCAACCATCATTTACTAAAGTGTCTACTCTGTGTTATAGAGGCGCTTGGGAATTAGGAATGTTACTCCTAAGGAACATTCAGTGTGATGGATGAGACAAGTCAAACATACAACAGGTAGTGTTATGAGCTGTAATGTAAGCATCTAAAGAATGCTATAGTCAAACAGAGCAAGGACACAGAACTGACTTCTTTGAGGAGAGAAAGCTAGAGGTAAGTCTTAAAAGATATCTAGGAGTAGCAGAGATTTTGTTTTTGTGGATTTTTTTGGTGATTTATCTATTTCAACGGGTTTATTGAGATATCATTCATAAACCATATATTTCACCCAGTTAAAGTATACAAGTCAGGGGTTTTTAATATGTCTGTAGATATGCACATCCTCTATCTACATAAAATTTTAGAACACCTAATTAGAGGCCAGTGCTATGGCACAGTGGAATAAAGCCAGTGCCTGTAGCTCCAGCATCCCATATGGGTGTTAGTTTGAGTCTGAGCTGCTCCATTTCTGATCTTGCTCCCTGCTAATGTGCCTAGGAAAGCAGCAGAGGATAGCCTAAGTCTTTTGGCCCCTGAACCCCTGTGGGAGATCCAGAAGAAGCCCCTGGCTCTTGGCTTCTGACTGGTCCAGTTCCTATCATTATGGCATTTTGAGGAGTGAACCTGCAGATGGAAGACTCTCTCTCTCTCTCTCTCTCTCTCTCTCTCTCTCTAACTCTGCCTTTAAAATAAAAGAATATCTAATATCCCCAAAAGAAACTGCATCCCCCTTAGCCATCACCCCAACTTCCCTTATCACTTCCTCATCCGATAACCACTTATCTTCCTTCTCTCTCTCTCTCTCTCTAACACACACACACACACACACATACACATATGTATACACAGAGAGATGTGTGTATCTGAGCATTTCACATAAATAAAATCATATATGTGATACATTGTAATGGGCTTCTTTCACTTATAGTATTTTCAAGGTTTATCCATATTATACCATGTATCAGTACTTCATAATTTTTTTTTGACAGGCAGAGTTAGACAGTGAGAGAGAGAGAGAGACAGAGAGAAAGGTCTTCCCTCCGTTGGTTCACCCCCCAAATGGCCACCACAGCCAGCACGCTGCGCCAATCCGAAGCCAGGAGCCAGGTGCCTCCTCCTGGTCTCCCATGCAGGTGCAGGGCCCAAGGACTTGGGCCATCCTCCACTGCCCTCCAGGGCCACAGCAGAGAGCTGGACTTGAAGAGGTACAACTGGGACAGAACCGGCACCCCAACCGGGACTAGAACCCAGAGTACCGGCGCCACAGGCGGAGGATTAGCCTAGTGAGCCGCGGTGCCAGCCATTCCTTTTTATTGCCAAATAATACAGGGGAGTTCAAATCATTCATAGAAAACACGCATTATCTTTTAGCTGCATTTTTACGCTAATTTTTGAAACCCCTACTATCCTAGTGTATAAATCAACTACACTTTAATTATCCATTCATAATCCACTGGACATTTGAGTTGTTTCCACTTTTTAGCTGTCACAAATCAGGCTACCATGAAGAGCTATGGGAGTTTTTGTGTGAAGATATGTTTTCAGTTCTCTAGAGTATTTCAAAATGCTTGTGGAAAATGAATTAAAACATTATTTTTAAATCTATGCATATTTTAATAACATGTATTTCTATGAACTTTTTGAAGACTCACAATTATGGATGGAATTGCTGAATCATTTGGAAATACAATGCTTAAAATTCAAGAAACTGCCAGACTGTTTCTGAAATGCTACATCTTTTACATTTTGATCAATAGTATATGAAGTTTTGGTTTCTACAGATGTTTGCCACATTTGTTATCATCTTTTGATTATAACCACACTAGTGGATATGAGGTGGTACTCATTGTGGTAGGAAATTAATTTTCTTTTAACTTCTTGTTTCCAGCATTCTAGCACAGTATCTGACATATAAATTGTTACTTTAACTTTTAGAATTGAGAAAGAGAAAAAAGATATAAAAGTAAAAATAATAGAAAATTCAAAGGCAAAGAATCAAGAGAATATAGATTGTATTGTGTAAATTGTTAAAAGTTCACTATGTTGATGCATTGCTTTATGTGGAAAAGTTTCAAAAAGTAGTGTTGAAGACTTAATGAATAAGTATTGAGTGCTTTCATGTACCAGGAAATATTTTTGGCACTGGGATACAGCAGTGAACAAGATAGATAATGTCACTTCCTATGAGGAAGACTGAAAATAAAAATAATATAAAATGAGAAACTCAAGAAGTTTCACCAAAGAAATTATTTGAAGAAAATTGCATATCCTAATGTGGTAGAGAATAACTTGGGTAAAAATAAGGCTACATTAGCTTAGGTGGAAGGTGGATGGCATTTAAACCAAGAGACCTGAGTTGTTAAAAACCACTCAGGTACATGAAGCTTTTGGTGCAAAATTATAATTAGAAGGAACAGAAAAGGCAAAGATCATGAGACAGACTGCATTAAACAGAAATCCCAATGCTAAGTAGATTTAAAAATACAGACTTAGGATTTCACACAAGAACCTGTTCATAGATGATCCCAGTTTTGATTAACTCAGAACACAACAATGATTTCAAGGATCCAGGAACTTTCTGTTTTTATTTTGTCATCTTTACAATGTTCTTGTATTTACATGTACTATGTGGACTGACAATGAGCTTGTAACCAGCCCAATTGCCAGAAAATAAAATATGGCTTAAGTTGTATCCAAAAACAGAGTGATGGGGTTCATGAGTTTTCCTCACGTTTTTCTTTTACTTTTTGATTTTTGTGACATATTGGAGTTTATGAGCCTACCTAACTAGAATATTTTTCTTAGTGGAACAGTTAAAAAACAAATTGAAATAAGAAATGATTATAAAAACATTTTAAGCTCCATATATTATTTCATGACAAAGAATATTTAAGTAATTCTCAAAGCTGAAGCCAAACTACACAGTTTTCTCTCTAAAAAAGCAAACATTCCACATTGGCTGACCTTTTCTGCAATGACAAGTGGGTGAAATTAGTATGTTACCTAGCAGATATTCTTGAAAAACTAAACTCATTCAATTTCTTCTTCGAGGAAAAGGTGATGTTTTATTAATGAAATAATTTCAAGAGGTGGAGTGAACATTTTAAAAATGATTGGTAATATTTCCATTATGTGATTGTTACTGAAAATGTAATATGTCACCCACAAAACTCTACTATTTGTATGCCTTAAAATGTGGATACTGTTTTATAACAGTCAAAAAGTACTCTGACACATTTCAGTTTTAAACTCAGCTATTTAAAATATATAAATTCATCTTTTTCCCATTCACATCCAAGACCAGCTAAGGGTATTTTCCTCCCAAATTTATAATAAATATTCTATTGGATATTGGAGAGGACAGGAAGTTTGTGTTCATGATTTAGTAAGTAAAGCCAGTGAAACTGACTCCCTTTGAAACAGTTATACCATTTGGACCCTTGTGTTATTGTAGGATATAATTTTCATTCATGAACACCATTAATAGAACTCATGGAGCTTAGAACCAAGCTCTTGATCACCATATTACAAAGTGTTAAACAGATTTTTTTAAAGATTTATTTATTTATTTATTTACTTGAAAGTCAAAGTTACACAGAGATAGAAGAGGCAGAGAGAGAGAGGTCTTCCATCTGCTGGTTCACTCCCCAGTTGGCCGCAATAGCTGGAGCTGCGTCGATCCAAAGCCAGGAGCCAGGAGCTTCTTCCGGGTCTCCCATATGGGTGTAGGGGCCCAATGACTTGGACCATCTTCTACTGCTTTCCCAGGCCATAGCAGAGAGCCAGATCGGAAGTGGAGCAGCAGAGAATTGAATGGGCACCCATACGGAATGCTGGCACTGTAGACAGCAGCTTTACCCGCAACACCACAGTGCTGGCCCCTAAACAGATGTTTTAAAAAGATAACATCATGAGGCTGGTGCTATGGCACAGTAGGTTAATCCTTCACCTGTGCTGCCAGCATCACATATGGGTGCCAGTTCTAGTCCCAGCTGCTCTTCTTCCAGTCCAGCTCTCTGCTATGGCCTGGGAAAGCAGTAGAAGATGGCCCAAGTCCTTGGGCCTCTGCACCCATGTGGAGGGAGACCAGGAGAAGCTCCTGGCTCCTGGCTTCAGATCGGCACAGCTCCAGCCATTGTGGCCATTTGGGGAGTGAACCAGTAGACAAGGGATCTTTCTCTCTGTCTCTCCCTCTCACTGTCTGTAACTCATCTCTCTCAAATAAATAAATAAAATTTTTTTAAAAAAGATAACATCACTCTAAAATTTAATAAATTAATACATAATATAACATTAAAATATAATTTTATTAATTTTATAGAGCAAAAATGCCCTATACTTCTAGTGAATAAGATAAGATACTTGGAAATTGACCTTTATTTAATATTTAATGCATTATTTTTAAATAGCTTTTTTGATATATAATTTTCTTACACCTATTTAAGTTGTATGCCTTTTTAAGGTATGTAGTCATGATTTTTAATATATTCACAAATATGTGGAATCAATACCACATTCTATCTTAGAATATTTTCATCATCCTAAAAGATATCACATATAAAATAGTAGACATTCATCATTTTCACACAAAATGTCCAGTCCTAAGTAACTACTAATTTACTTTCCATCACTATAGATTTTTCTGTTTTGGGATTTTATATAAATGGAATCACATAATATGAGGTCTTTTGCTACTAGCTTCTCTCACATAGCATACTATTTTCCTTTTTTAAGATTTTATTTATTTTATTTGAGAGGTAGAATTATAGACAGTGAGAGGGAGAGATAGAGAGAAAGATCTTTCTTCCACTGGTTCACTCCCCAAATGGTTGCAAAGGCCGGAGCTGCGCCGATCCGAAGCTAGGAACCAGGAACTCCTCAGTCTCCCATGTGGGTGCGGGTGCCCAAGCAGAGAGCTAGATTGGAAGAGGAGCAGCTGGTACTCGAATCAGCACCCATATGGGATGCAGGTGCCACAGGTGGAGGATTAACCTACTGTGCCATGGCGCCAGCCCCACATAGCATACTATTTTCCAGGTTCATCTATGTTATAACATATTTGAATAATACCTTCCTTTTTATGGCCAAATAATATTCTGTTGCATTTTGTTTGTAAATACCTCCATTGACGGACGTATGTATTGTTGACATCTTTTGACTATTGTAATATGGCTGCTATGAACATTCATATATATACAAGTTTTTTTAACATCTGTATTCAATTATGTGGGGTATATACTTAGGAGTAGAATTGCTGGATCTTATGGTAATTGTACGTTGAACTTTTTTCAGAAATTCCAAACTTTTCCACAACAGCTGTACCATTTAAAATTCCCACCAAGAATAAACAACAATTAATCCACACCCTTGCCATTACTCATTATTTTCTGCTTTTTAAAAATACCCTGGTAGGTATGAAGTGGTATCTCATTATTGTTTTGATTTTCATTTTCCTATTGCAATGATGTTGAGCATCTATAGTACTTATTGGCTATTTTTATATTTTCTTTTAAACAAATGACTGTTCATGTCCTTTGGCCATTTATAAAATAGGTTGTTTATCTTGGTTCATTTGTTTTATTTTTAACATCTGGTTATTTATTTGAAAGGCAGACTTACAGAGAGGAGATGGAGAGACAGAAGGAGCAAGAGAAATCTTCCATCTGCTGGTCACTGTTCAAATGGCTGCAATGACCAGAGCTGGGTGAGGCCAAATCCAGGAAACTGGAACTCCTTCTGGGTCTCCCATGTAAGTTGCAGGGGCTCAAGTACTTGAGCTATCTTGTACTACTTTTCCAGGCACGTTAGCAGGGACCTGAATCAGAAGTGGAGCAACTGAGACTCAAACAGGTACTCACACGGAATGCGTATGGATTAATATTTCAGAAACCACCATATACATATGCCGGACTTGAACAATTAAGGACGTTAATGGCAGATGGTAGGAGCTAGGTTGCTCACTGTTGGAGTGGGAGGCTACACACAAGCAAAAGGAAGCAGCTAACAAGATCCATGTGGTAATGGATTAGAGCTGTGGACACCAGTATGAAACCATGTTTAGCTTAATATGAGAATTTTTAAGTTGTTGGAAAAATAAAATTGAAAGATAAGTTTATTGGTGCAAAAGCCAATTTGAAATCTATGTGTAGTTTTTTCATAACATGAATTAGCTGTGAACCTTTTGAAGTGCCTTCATATAGATCCAGATGATTATACATAGAAATATTTATGTGTCTATAGATACAGGTTAGTATAAAAACATATATTTCTTTACTATGTCATCTAAATGGGTCTAGAAGCAACATTACCCCAGTAGCAATAAAAATACACAGCATCATTTTCAGTACCATCCCCCAGAAAAAGAATTGGGCCTCGGTGAGTCTTATGAGCTGGAATGGCCCTTTAATGTTGTCCGAAGTTGGGCCTAGGTAGCCAGGACTTTATTATACTCTCACATCAGTGACTCAATGGATGTGGCCTATGAGACATTGACCAAGTCAGTTCTCTGCAGCCTTTTTTCCCCAAAAAGCTGGCAGTTGAAAGCTGTCACAGACAGCTCTCTTGGAAGCTGATGCAGCAAGTCCTTCTTTGAAATGGGTCATGAGCAGTGCATCATTGGATCCACCACAGATGGTAACCAGATCACATATATACAAGAGATCAAGGTGAGCCAGGATCTGTAACTAGGGTATCCTGGATGTTAAGAGAAAGAAAACAGGATGGATCTGAGAACAGACAGGCTTCTAGAGTCCAGAGGGGTATGCAAAGGCAGGAGCTGTCAGAAAGCAAAAGAAGCAAACGAGAAAGGCTCTACAATCCCTCAGAATGAAAGGACTTTGTAGCAAAGTTTTGGCCTACTTCGAAATTTTTCATGCACAAAACTGAAAGCAAGCAGCTAAGTCAAGGGGAATGAGACAGGAAGAAATAACTAAGCTTTGAATGACATGAGCTTAGAGTTCTTTGACTTGGAGAAGAATCAGCCTGCTTAGTAGTAATATGGGACCATTACCTGAAAGGTGGAGCCCGTGGAATGCTTTAATTAGTGGAGCAACCTCTTAAAGTTTGAATCTTTAGGTAGACCCAAAATACAAGAGTACTTCAAACAGTTTGTGATAAAATGGAATTAAAAGGAAAGTTTGCTCTGGGACAAACCTATTTTGAAATCCATTTATAGTTTTCATAATAGGCATTTTCATGAACTTTCTGAAAACTCCTCATGCCTCTCCCCCATCTGTAGAAAGTTGCTGCAGCAGGTTCTGCAGTTCACTAGGCCATCTTGGTCTTTGCCAGTGATATACATCACTACTGAAATCCAAGAAGGCCTCATCTCATGTACATTTCTTATTCTTAGATTCATAAGAAGAATTAGATATGACAAGCCATTCGGTCACTTCAGTTTTTCTTTGTGCTGTTCTGTATAAAACTCCCATTTCAAATGTAAATCTGTGTGGATTTTCATAACATGCTGTGTGGATCTCTACCTATTTCCAGAATTACCCTGTTGCTTAAAGTGAAGAACTTCAGACAGATCTCTTCCTGCACGCCGGGTACCTATCAGTCTTCTAACATTTTTGCAACTTTCACTGGAGCACTTTGTTGCCGACTGACATATGTCTCAGATAACCCTGTAGATCCCAATGATTCAGTTAATAGGATCTTCATGTTTGGGTCCTTATGCCAAATTACCCATTTGGATTATCTGGCTTACTGACTTGTGGATAGCATTTCTTAGTGCTAGGTTGCCTTGTCTACCTTATACTTACTCTGTCTAGCTGAAAAGGATCTTGCATAAGATTAATGGAGAAAACTACTCATGTATAAGTGTAGGGGTGCAATCGTTATGGGGCAAACCTTATCCCTTTTCTAATATTTTGAAATATTGCTCCCCTTTAACTGCTAGTGAGAAATCTGTCAGCTTTCTTTTTTTGATTTGCTTTTCAGCTAGGAAACAAAACCTGTGCTAATTCTCCTTTCAAGTGTCTACATTTTGTCTTTCAAGCTACTTTCCCTGGAATATTCTACTTTGTCTTCTAAATCTGTGGCACAGCAGGTCTTGTATTTCTTGGTTGCCAATCACTTCTTTTTCTTCTAATTTTTGTCTGAGTTTTCTACAGGGTAATCTTGTTAATTCTTGTTAAAAATTTAAGAAAATATATCTATTTGAAAGACAAACAGAGAGAGCTTCCATTCACTAGTTTATTCCCAAAATGTTGGCAACAAGGTCATAGCCAGGATCCAGGAATGCAGTCTACACCTCCAACATGGGTTGTAGGAACCCAGTTATCTGAGCCATCACCACTGCCTCCCAGCGCATTGGTTGGGAACCAAAACAGGAGCCAAAATTGGGAATGAAACCCAAGCACTCCAGTGTGGGATGCAGGCATCCTAACTGTTAAGCTAAGCACTCTCTCCCTATTTCTTATTTAGGAAACATTTTTAAAATAAATCTCTACCGTCTTTCTTCATTTTGGTGGTCAGTTAATAAAACTCCATAGAAAGATACTCTGCAGGGTGCTTCTCCACAGGAGTCTGTCTCTGACTGGGAAGACTTCCTACTTCACATTTCCGTATTCTGGCATATAGTTTACACACATGTGTACCTAAGCATGTGACTCATTAAAATTCACATTTATAGGAATGGAGTCCTCCTTACTGTGTTGCTGCATTTCTTCTGGATTAATGGAAATCCCCCCTCTATGTAATTGTGGTCAGTTTTCAGAGCTAAGTGAGATGCTGAGATGGGGCAAAGTGGGTAGCATGGAGAGTGACATGTGCATTCTGGGTAGGAGAACATGAAATTCAAATTTCTGAGTTAGTAGGGACTTGGTGTCTTCTAGGAATGTCTGGGAAGTTGTAGCACAGTTTTTAAAAGGAAAGTGGTTGGGAACTGAAGGTGGAGGTCTTTGGTGAGAGTTATGGAGCAGGAAGTACAGATCCTTTAAAGCTTCTTTTTCATTGTTAATTTCTGATTGACACGTAACAGGTGTACACATCATGGGTTACAGTGTGATATTTAAAACATTCACAGCACATACTGATCAAATCTTCACACAATGTAAAATGCACTGTTGTGCATTGTAGTACCCTGTTATGCTGAGGAACACTTGAAATTATTCCTATGTGTGTTGGTACTTATTATCCAGTGTCCCTCTGTTCCCCACCCCAACCCTTTCCCAGTCTCTTAGTAATCCCTATTCTAAGTTCAGACTGACTCTTTTTTTAGCTTCCCATACAAGGGAGACCACATGGTATTTGTCTTTTCTATGCCTAGCTTATTTCACTTTAGGCCTTTGAAGGCCAGCACACTGGGTATATTTCTCTGGGGAACATGAGAAATTATCTGTTCTTCACCTGTATTCTGTCTACCTGGGACAGGGAAACATGCAGGAGCTTCTCTTTGATCAAGTTTTAGTCAGATTCTTTTAAACACTCTTCTCAAGGAGGCCGTCACTTTTGGACTTCTGTGTCTTTGTATGGCCCAATTTTAGTAAGAATTCTGTTGAGCTGGTTTAGACAGAATATCCCACCCTTGTATCTGGTTGCTCTTGACATCTGGGTCCCTCATTTTTGCTAATCATCCAGGTGACATCTGATCATCCCAGCCTTCATTCAGCAAGAACCCTGTTAGGTTGAGTTAGCTAGAATCCTCCCTTACGCATCATGTTTCCACTTAGTAATTTTCCATCCGCATATCCCCTCAACACTGCTGCTTGGCTATAGATTCCCTCTTTTCCTTATATTTGGAAGTGAGCCAGTCTCTATCCCTTACTATAAAACTCTGTCACAATAGTCCCTGAACCTGTATAGTTGTGATAGTCCTGAAAGAAGTCAGCCCTACTTTACTATTGTGGTAATTTTTAAAATTGATTTGATGAACATATAATAATTGTACTTATTTATGGGATAGTGTTACATTTCAGCACATGAATACAGCATGTATTGATCAAATCAGGGCAATTAGCATTTTTGTTTCTATATCATTTCTTTATATTTAAAGTCTCTGAGCTCTTATCTTCTAGTTCTTCATAAGACATATAATGTTACTGTGAATAATAATCACCCCACTGGGCAATGGAACACTAGCAGCTGTTCCTTCTTTCTAACTGTGGTTTGGTACCTGTTATCCAACCTCCTTCTCTCCTGTCCCACTTTCTAGACTCTAGTAATCTCTATTCCAGTTTCATATTGTCATTTTTTAGGTTCCACAAATGAGAGAGATGTCTGCCATATTCCATTTAACGCATCTTCCAGTTCCATCCATTTTGCTGCAATTGACAGGACATCATTCCTTTTTATGGCCAAATAACATTTCATTGTGCGTATATATTTTCTTTATTCATCTGTTGATAGAGACTTTGGTTGAGTCCATATCTTGCCTTTTGTGAATATTGCATATAGCCTAAACTCTGAGGCTTACTTCTACCTAATTTCATGAATTATCTTTTTTTTAAAAAAATCTTTCTATTTTTTGAAAGGCAGAGTACAGAGAGAGACAGAGAAACAGAGAGAGAAAGAAATATTTCATACACTGGTTCACTCCCCAAATGACTGCAATGACCAAGGCTGGGCAGGCTGAAGCCAGGAGCCAGAAACTCCATCTGGGTCTTCCATGTGGGTGGCAGAGACCCAAGCACTTGGGTGATCTGCTGCTGCTTTCCTATGTGCATTAGCAGAGAGCTGTATTGGAAATAGAGCAGCTCTGATATGGTATGCGGGTGTCACAAGGAGCAGCTTAGCATGCTATGTCAC